TTCCATAGATAGAAAACTTAAAATCAATCTGACCGTATGATCTGGTTGAACTGTAAAGTGCCTTGAGATGACATGTGTTGTGAATTGGTGCTATAGAAATAAACTAAATTTAATTGTCTGCAAATCCTCATCTAGGAAAATTACCAACACCCATCTCTCTAACCAGTAGAGCACACATTACCTCCACACGTCATCTTGATTCCAAGTATTTTCTTTGTTTAAGGACAGGCAGAGCCGATACTTAAAACAAACACGAGGATGGACATTTAACCCAAGTTTTTGTTTTTTTACCTTACTCATTAAGTGTGGGCGGCCCAAAAACTTAAAAAAAAACAGTTTGTCCAAATGTGTCTTCAACTATTTTTCAATCATTTACTTCTTGAAATATCTTAAAACCAAATAATAATCTGGAGATAGGAAGGAATCATTTTAAATGTTGTAATAATTTGGAATAACATTGAACCACAATGTCCCAATAAGAACAGCATAAACACTTACATTCCAAACCAGTTCCTCTCAGCACACTGGAGGCGGTGTGAAAAGGTGAAGCAGTGCATCTTCAACAGGTTGAAGAAGGTATAGCCCACGACATCAGCTATACTGTCATTCGCCGTCCTCAGACAGCTGCGAAACCTTAAATGCACAGTGAGCGTTGGCATGGTGACGAAACAAACAACACCAAATCAGATTTTATTAGGCAGAGGGGCGGTTTACTTGTTATCGCAGTCGCAGTGAGACATGGTAAAGATGTTGCTATTGAAAACGCCAAACTCAGATTGAAAGGACAGGATGGTGTGTTTGCACTGGTCGTGTTCCCTGCAGCAGCTGTCCGTGTCGGAAAAAACTCCTGCAAGAATCAAAAGTACGGAGAGGTAAAAAAATCAGTTTATCTTTGAAAAAAGACATTTGAATGATAATGAAATGGAAATTAGAGAAGCTACACTGCAAAAACCTTCTAGAAATAAGTAAAAATTTCTTAAATTAAGTGTATTTACCCTTAATTTGAGGAAGTAAATGAGCAAGTTTGCCAATGGAATGAGTAATTTTACTCTTAAAACAAGATAATTAGATAATATGCACTTGAAATAAAACAATGCAATTGAGTTT